CCCCCTTAGCTCAAGGTCTGGATCAGCCACTGCTGGTGGTTAAGGAATTCATCTTTTTCACAAATCAGCCATTATGTTATTCAAGAGTCCTAAACTTAACATCTTACTTGTGTACGACTCTTCGCTCTAGACAACAAAGAACTGCTGCTTCATGATAAATAAAATAAACCCTCCGATTTGTGTATCTCATCTGCAGAAAACGACCATGGTATGTTTGAACAAGAAACTTTCTTACACCCACCGAGTAACGTAGCTCAGCCACGGCAAACCGCCAGATTTGTGGTCACAACACACATTTACTGATTCTACTGATCAAAAATTTTAATCTTGTCGTATCCCAAAGCAGGGCGTAACTAATCGATTGAAATCGATCATCGAAAACGTAATCGATTAATTAATTAATCGATAGTACTCGATAATACTCGATATTTGTCAGTTGATTAGTTACGATAATCTACAAAAATCGATAATCATTCATGGGGAGAAATGATACAACACGGCCGCCGCGCAAGCGTACGGTTATCAAATTTTGTCTTAGATTTCAAACGCGTAGCTAACATCGTAACAGAGAAATCAGTGACAATTGTATTAACCTTCGTTTTCTTTTTGCCACCGTGTTTTAACCGCTGGACATGAACAATTTTCTTTTATCTTTAAATAAAGTCATAAATGTGTTCAACCTTTCGATTCCTGCTTTAGGTGTTTTCGACATTGTTTAAGCGGTTCCCTGAGGCTGTTTCTTTTGCATATAATAATCCTCCAATTGTTCCCTCATACTCTACTTCTTAATTACAACCGGAGAGTGCACAAAACTGCCAAAGCTTAACCACTTTGTACGGTTCCTGGAAGTTTTTCATTTCCGACATTTTTGTTTACATGCGAAACTTCATTTTTCATTCAGATTTACGACCCATTGATGGCATTAAACTGATTCCAAACTCGGCGAAAGAATCTCTAAAACACTGATGAGTAAGACTGAGAGGGAAGCCATTTTTAAAGCA